TTCTATAAAATAATCCATATAAGGTAGTATAAATAACACATGATGCAATGGCTAATCTGTCAGATTTCAAATAAAAGTTCACCAAAGACAAGTCAAATTTCCCTATTAATAATCTTTTTTACTAGCAATCACTAACATTTCTAGTCTTAATATTATCACATAAATGGAAAATTTTATTTATCTGATTTTATTTGGTATCTTGAAAATGGGGTTTTATTGTATGTTCTGAAATGTGCAATGAATATTTTCACAAGGAAAAATAATGCCATTTAGATGTGATGATAAACTGTAGAACTTAAAAGTGCTGTAAAATATTAGGATCAAAAGTCATGCTATATGCACATTATAGGTGCATACTGTAGTGATACTTCATTGGTAATGCCAGTGACTTCAGTAACACACTTACCTTGAGCTCTGAGTCTCGCTGAACAGATCTCATGTATCCACCAGAATTCTGTATTCCTGGTGTATTCTGCACTCCATGTGCAAGTAGGTCCAGAGAAGGGGGGAAAAATAGCATATTGTGCATCAATTATCCAATTAGATACCTTTGCAAAACAAGAGTGCAAGATAAAATGCATTTAAGAGAAACATATGACAAAAATACAGAAGACACAGTGGGGGAGAAGATACATGTAATTATAATGTTACAGTTCTTATATTTGTGGAGTGTGGTGTATTTACTGGAAGAACAAAGCATTGTGTGTGAAATGTGAAACTCTGACTTTCAGCTCCAAAAAGCTTATGTTGGGGAGAAAAATGAGAGTATTGTGAAGTAGGGACATAGGTCACTCTTAAATATGAAATATTAAATGAATATAAGTTGATGAACATAATTTAGGGTTACATATCATTAATAATATGTATATATGGCTAACCAGCCATTACAAGAATAAAACCAAAAAAATTAAACATATTTGACTAAATACAACAAAATAGGAAAAAGGAAGGTAAAATATAGAAAGGAAAATAAAAAATATAGAAAAATTGTAGCTGGAAACACTCATATCAATAACAACAGTAAATACAAATGGAATAAATATTGCAATAACAAATCAAAGATTATTAGACTGGATGAAAATGCAAACTCAACAATATGATATTTATAAGAGATAGAATGAAATAAAAAGACATGGTTAACTTAAAAGTATGCAAATGGGTCAAGTAGAAAAACAAACCTAAGAAACCTAGTCTAACTTTATTAATATCAACAAAGTTAAAAAAAAAATTCATGGACCTTCCTGGTGGCGCAAGGGATAGAGCACGGCACTGTGGAGCGGTCCGCAGCCTCAGTAGCACGAATTCAATCCCCCGCCAGCCAGGGAGCTGACCCATATGGCACAGCAGACCTCTCTTGTCTCGCCTGCCGCTCCCCTCAGCAGTGAATTTCAGTCAATCTGCCTGTTCTGCTCCCCACTCTGTCTCTGGTGAATCCTCTCACCCTCCCGCTCCTCTGGCCTGTACCCCAGCTCCTGTGGTCATAGATGGATGAATCTTTAAAAAAAAAATCATGAAAAGAAAAGAGTTGATTCATTAGGAGCACAACAATCCTAAATGTGTAGGTACCTAATAAGAGAGCTTCAAAATACATGTAGCAAGAATTAACATAATTAAATGGAAAAGTAAACAACTACATAAGTATAATTGGAGATTTAACACCTGTCTCTCAGTGATAGAATATGTTACACACATCAATAAGGATATAGAGCATATTTGACATTTATAGACGACTACATGCAAAAATTGCCCAGTACACATTCTTTTTTTAAGTACATTGGGAATAGTTATTGAGATAAGCCATATGCTGGGATATAAAATAAGGGTCAATAATTTTCAAAATTTGAAATCTTATACAGTACTTCTAATAGCAATGGAATAAATTAAAAGTCAATAACAATAAGCAATTTAGAAAGCCACCAAATACTTGAAAACTAAGCAAAATAATTCTAGACAAATAGTAAAATGATTTAAAAAATAACTGACAGAAAGGGGAATATATGAAAATATTCCCCATGCTAATTAAAACGCAACATGACAAAATTTATGGGATAACACTAACAAAGTCATTAGAAGAATTTTTTAAGCTTTAACTGCCTGTATTATTAAAGAATAAAAGTTTAAATAAATTATTTTAGTTTCCACCTTGAGGACACAGAAAAATCAGAGAAGTAAGCAGAAAAGAAACTATAAAGCTAAGAACAGAAATCAATGAAATAGAAAACAAAGAAGTGAACAAAATCAGAAGTTGATTTTCTGAAAAGATCCCACAGAAATAGGACTATGTGTGTTTGATCTATTAAGTAACTAATTCCAGCTTTTGAGAGAGCCAAGTTGAATAATTCAATTTTTAAAAATTAAGGTAAAGGACCACTGAGCAAGAGTAGGTAATTTGATATTATATTTATTAAGATATTAGATGAATATCATACATTTTTACAGAATCAATCTGTAAATGATCCAAATTGTTCTCCCAAATTTTAAGTCATATGTATGTCATCAAATTTGTTGGCATATTTAATTATTAGGTTTTAATTTACATTTCAACTTACAACAATTTAGCTTAATAATATGTCTCTCATTACATGGTAAAATAATAAATATATTCATAACATCCACACAGGTGTTTTAATTTTTCATGAAGTCTTTATCTTGTTCAATATCCCTAAGATTTATTTTATTTAGTATATGGCTAGTCTGTTTCTCATAATTTTTCTTACACATTTCTGTTCATAAGAAAATTTAAAATTATACATGTTCCACATATTGGAGCAAAAGGTAAGCTGAAAAGTTAATGGAGTCATGCTTAACATGAGACTCTCCTCCTCTTCTAAAAGTGGAAATAATAATAGGCAGCAGGAAACATTCTCTTTTATTTTATTTATTTTTTTTTTTTTAAGTGACAGTCTTTTTTTTTTATTTATTTATTTGTTTGTTTTGTTTATACAAGCACTGGGTACAGTCAGAAGCGCGGGAGGGTGAGAGAATCCACCAGAGCCAGAGCGGGGAGCAGAACAGGCAGAAGGACCGAAGTACACTGCTGAGGGGAGCAGCGGGCGGCAGGAGAGGTCTGCGCGCCATGTGGGACCCTCCTCTGGTGGCCGGGAAGCAGCCGGGGATCGAACTGGCGCCGCAGAGGCCGCGGGGAGCTTCGCAACCCAGCGCTCAACCGCTGCGCCACCGGGGAGGCCCAAACATTCTCTTTTAGAGATTATTTTGAAAGACACTTCCAATATTACTTTACCCATTTTATGGATCAGTAAACTTCTTACAGAAAACTCAGCAGGACAAGCTCTCTCATAATGTTATGTTAAAGATAAAAACTTCAAAGGCAGAGACATTATTTTCTGGTCTAATCTTATTTCCTCACTGCAGATAAGTTATTAAATTTATTTTTATGTATATGTAATACAGCATTTTTTACTGGATGTTTTACTAAGTGCCAAGGTGTAGAGTTCCAGAAATTTGAATGTATGCTTCAAACATCTGGAGCTATACATATGGGGAATATACAGCTGTGTTTATTTCAATGATTACACATTTACATGCATACAATACATTTATTTAAATGTATAATCTCTTCTATATGTGAGAATATTCAAACAAATACATTTCTGTACTTATTTGAATATGCAATTGAAAGGGATTCAAAGAAATAATTCACCACTTTTATTTAAATCTTAAAGCATTTATTTATATAATATACTTATTAATTTGAAATTATAGTTTCTTATTTTTATTCTAAAATCCAAATATTTTCAAAGATTAAAAAAAATGTGGGACTCACAAGTCATATAAATCAGGAAATTTTCATAGAGCAATACAGAGTAAGCAAGTTTTTGGAAAAATTTCAAAATTCAGCAGGATAAGAAAATAAAATTATTTGCAGTTGAAACATGCTTCCTCCCTTCAGAAAAACAGTTCTATCATATCATTGTGGACATATTAATTGAATATCAAAGGTATTATTTTTTGTTTTTACTGGGTATTGACATAATATAGCATATCAGTTTTCACTTTTTTAAAGCCACAGACAAATCCATTTAAGTGTATTAAGATAATGTCATTTAACTCTACCCTTTTTTTTTTCTTTCTGGGAAAAGTAATGGAGACTAGCAAATGGTTTCTGGGACACAAAATGAAATTACATTTTGCATTCTATTCCTTGCCCTGATATCCTCAGAGATATCGGAATACCTTTTAGTTAGTCTATTTATAGTTCTCTTAGTTCTTTCACTTGCTATTTCCTTTCTCAAGGGTTTAGTTTGTTTGTTCGAGAACTAAGATGGGCTGGCCTAGAGGAAAGCGCAAGAGAAAAATTAAATTGGAAGTTGCATAATCTTCGGAAATAATTTTAAATTCAGCTTTCCACAGTATAAAAATAATGACTACAGGCACTTTTTCATTTGTTGCATGATTGAATAAAAATAACCTCTCTGAGTCTCAGTTTTGTTGTTCATAGACTGAATAAGTAACATCTCTCATTGGATGTTGTGAGGATTGCATGAGTATAAGGTAAGAAATCATTAAGTTGTCCAATGTTTTGCAAATAACTAACAGCTTAATGTTTCATTCTCATTTTTCAGTTAGATGACTACCTCCAAACCATAATTGTTGGTCATGTTTTTCTGGATTGATTAATCTGTTAAAACATAAAATGCTTTTTTGTAGTTATTTGACTTAGCCCACTACAATGTTTTCTGAGACAGTTCATACTTATATGTAGGGATGCTTCCAGAAATGTAGATTAAAGAGTGTGTGCACGTTAGGTGGGAAGTGTTTTAATGGTTTGCATACATATATTTAAAAACCCTCACATTTATATTTTTAACTTCTACAATCACTTTGCAAGACATGTAGGAGAGCCTGGGATTCTCCAGAATAGGAAGGAAAGCAGCAAGGCTGGTCATTTGCTTCCAGGACCAACGCAACGGCGGGAGAACGGCCGACCAATCGGGGCGCAGGCTGAGAAATGGCCCCGCCCCCATCTCCCAAGCCCCGCCCCCTTCCCCTGCCGCCTTGCAGGAGCAGGGGCTGTGCAGTTGGCTCGTCCCGCCCCTGCCTGTGAGTGACAGGACCGTGGACAGCATCATTTCGAGCCGGACCTGAAGTTTGTGGGCCCCTGCCTTGGCTGAGCTGAGGTGTGTGTGTGTCCGGCGAGGGCGAGGGGGCTGGGGAGGCCCTGCCCGGGAGGCTCTGGATCTGGGATTGAAAGCGGGGCCCTCCCCGCCCCCCCACGTCGCTAGCCCCACAGCGTTTAGGGGATAATCGTTCCGCCCCGGGGTGCAGCCCTTGAGCGGGCTGGGCGGAGGGAGGCTGTGGAAAAGGGGGAACCCGGAAGCCCAGTGGGTACGGCAGAAGACTTAGGGAGCCCTGCCCGGCGAGCAGGGCGCCCGCGGTGGGGGCGGGGATGGCGAGGGGCTTGTCCCCTGGGTGGGCGTGGCCGCCGCGGTTGGCGGGGAACTCGCGGTTCCCGCCCTGCCAGCGTGTCCGGCGCGGGCGGCTGGGCCCTGGGCTAAGCCCCGCCCACCTCCCGAGTGCCGCTGCTTGACTGGCGATTGGCTCCCTGGGGCTGTCAATTAACTCTCGTCCCTTCATTTCACTTTCCAGCCGTCTAGTTTTAGTAGTTCCCGCGGAGGTCTGCCTTTCCCGTGTTACTGCTCCCCACACTTTCCTCCTCTCCTTAAGGAGCAGGTACCTGCAGACGAAAACATTTGCAATGAAGAGTTTCAGTTAGCATGAGATTGTTCTGCTGGTGTCGGTGGGGGTGTCTTCTCCTCCTGCTTGGTACATCCCTGACCCCACAAAGTGTTTGTGCCACGTGGATGACTTGAAAAAGGATACAGGAGATCCGGTTTCTTCTACCTGGAATAATTTTTCTCACTGCTACCTGTTTGAGCTCAAAGAGTTAAGGGATTTGAGGCGATGGGACAAGCACCCATAGAGGATCTTCCATTAAATCCTTCCTGTGGGGAGGGGTCATACTAAGCTAATAAAGCAACCCCCCCTTTTTATTTGATTTATTAGGTCATATTTAATGATTGCCTTTAAAATAGTAAGCAAAGATAACCGTGTCAAATCTCTGCTCCTATCAGCTGCCTCCATTTCATTCAGCAAAACAATATTCCAGAGAAATAACAAAGGACTAAAAGTCTGCTTTTACTTCCTTCTGTTAGGTTTACTGTATAAAACCTTAGGAAGGAAGATTATGCTGTTTGTTACCACTGGGAAGAAACTTGGCCTCGAAGTCAGGAAACTGGCAGGTTTAGGAAGTGTTTATCCCCAGGCAATAACCCTCATAATTGTTTTCATATTTGTAAAGTGGGAATTATTTGCCCTTTGTTCCTAAAAAGTAATACCAAATAATTGATTGCAACTGTATTAATTATCTACACAGATGTAAAGTATTGATTACACTTTATTTTTTAAAGATTATGTATATTTATTATGTATATTTATTTATGTATACAAGAGCTGGGGTACAGGCCAAGATGTGGGGGGTGGGAGGACTCACCAGAGAAAGAGTGGGGAACAGAACAGGCAGACTGACTGAAATAAACTGCTGAGGGGAGCAGCGGGCGAGACAGGAGAGGTCTGCTTCGCCTTTTGGGTTGCTCCTTGGCTGGCTGGGGATCGAACTCGTGCTGAGGAGGCTGTGGATTGCTTCATAGTGTGCTGCTTAACCCCTTGCGCCACCAGGGAGGCCCTCATTACACTTTTAATCTATGTTTTTATCTACATGATTTGAATTTTTAAATGTATTATCATTCAGCTTAAAGTATTTTCAAATTTTCCTTGTGATATCTTTTATATTTGGATTATTTAGAAATGGGAAGAAGCCCAATCACCTGTTATTCTTTGTTTTGATTAGGTGGCATGAGAAATACCTTTGCATGACACTTTTTCCCCCACACCACAATTTTTTTTCAAGTATATGCATAGCCTAAAATTACTGAAAATGATTACCTTCTAATGTTAGGTAACACTACAATGACAAATAACATCTTTGCTGTCCTTTACCACTTTGAAAAGCCAAGGAAATCTATTGACTCTCTTACAAAAAGACATAATTTCAAACATAAGGGGAGCCTGGACTAAGAGCAATTGTTTGTAGTTAACTTTTTGTGAGATGAGGAAAATATTCTTCCTTTTTGACTCACCCAAAGAGAGACTTAGTAACTTATATCAAAGCTTTATAACTGATAGAGTTAGATCCTTTTCCTCTCTGTCACCATAGCTTACCTTAGGTTAGTGTCTTCAGCCAATCTTTTCTTAGCATTTAACAAGTAGGAACTACCAGTGCTCAATAAATTGTTGCTATCTTTCAACACCATGTGGGCTGTATTTTATTCCAGATGCACTTTGGTAAGTCTCTTAAAGCACTTCCTTGTTTTAAGCAAGTGAAAAGAGAAATCATCACTTATTTTTTTGAAAAAATTATTTGTAGTTTTGATATAAAACATTAAGTGCACGAACTTTCTTTACAATCAATCAAAGTGCATTTTAGACAAAGAAAGTTCATTACATTTAGTATATGACACTATGATGATATTACCTGACTCCTAGAACTCTTCACCTTAAGTGAATGATTTTTTATAGTATTTTAATTTCCTGTGGCTAAAAATTATTTTGCTTGGTTCTACAGTGGCTTTTCTCCTGTTTTCTATATTCAAATAGAAGGGTGTAAATAGCGTTATTTTCTTTGCTCTAGTTTCTTTATATAGCTTTACCAGTGAAAGTGGGCATGAGTAGTAGGTATTAGATAAGGAAGAAATGAAGAGGAAAAATGTATTGCTTTGATAACAAACAGAAGAGTATATAGGAAACCTGGTTCTTCTCTAATACTTGTATTATTCAAACTTTAGTGTTTGAGTATTCCATTTTATTTACTTATTTTACTTCTGATAGAAGAACTAAAGTAAACTAAAGAAAGCATCCCAGTGAAATTAGAAATTTTTTTAGGTGCTTAATAATAGCTCTTTCCTTTTATTGAATGTTTAAACAGATTATATTACCTTGTTACTAAATTGCTGGTTGGGGATAGTACTTTAGATGGGAGAACAAAAATGATTACTAGTATTTCTTGCCCCTTTCAAACTCCATTCCTTTTCTTAGAACCTACACTTTAATCTAGCTAGAGAAAATTTCAGTGTGATACCAGGTGAAACCACAGGGAATCAGAACTGATAATCTGGAAAAACTAAGGCATACCACGGAACTCCAAACTTTTAAGGAGAAAAATCCATGTTGCACATTCTATGCCACTTGTGCTCATAAAGCAAAGTAATTAAAAAAAGTTTTTAATCAGTGAGGTGTTCAAAGGCGAGAGGGGGATGAAAAGGAAGAGGAATAGGGGAGAGAAGGATTTTAAAATACAGATTCCTGATCAAACTTCAAAATTAACCATAGCCTTATGGGCAAATTCAGCTGAAGAAGCAGGGACTAAAGCCGAGCAACCAAGGTTCAAGAGCAGAGCCATTAGGAGAATGAATCCAAGGCATTCCACAGCGAGAAATACGAGGAAGAGGTTGTGCAGGATCCAAAGGACTGGGAGAGGAGATAACTAAACTTTAAAAGTACCACCCAAGCTGAATCCATCACAAGGTCAAGATGGCAGGAATCAGTCTCTTGAGAACTGTATTGTGTCTCCTACTAAAGTGCTGACCCTAGAAAAAGGAAGTGGGCACACGTGTGTTTTTAAATTGTGTTCAGTGTTTTTAAGTCCAACATAGCTGCTCAGCTGGACCCCTAGTTTCTAGTGGTCCCATTTTGGAAGTCAGGTTCATGTCATGCTGGGAGCTGGTTGCCTGATATCTCAGTAGCACAGAGATGGCAGTGGGAAAAATGGCAGGAGGTGGAGTTAGTTCAGGAGGTCATTCACTGGCTTGGAGTTTATTCCTCACTGTTCTTCTAATGAATTTGCATAAAAGATACATCTTCCCAGGATTACTGCTCTACAAGTGAATTTCAAATGAGTTTCAGCCACTAATCAGATAACTCTCCTACTGGGAAGCTATGAATAAGGAGTGGAACCCAAGGCCAAACTGTTAAGCTGGTGGTCTGGTTTTCCATATTGGGTAATACCTCTGGCGATTGAAATATGTGGTAGTGATTTTAAATTCTTACATTACCTTTAAAAAAGGTGCTACTGGTTTTTGAAAATCTCAAGTTTAGGGATTCTAAATATTGTGTAATGCGGAAGTCCATCTATCTTCTCTAAGAATTTCTTTCCCCCACTCCACTGCCCAAATGCCTTCATTTGGGCATTTGAGAATCACTAGAAGTCCTCTGTGTAGAAACATCAGACACAGATTGCCCTTGAGTCTGTTAATACGTATCCATGATTTTATAACAATAGATTTGGCTCTATATTTGGAAGTCTTTTTTTTTTTTAATTCAACCTTTATATTTTATTTTAAAGATTTATTTATTTATACAAGCACTGGGGTACAGGCCAGAGGCGTGGGAGGGCGAGAGAATTCACTCGAGACAGAGCAGGGAGCAGAACAGGCAAAAGGACCAAATCACACTGCTGAGGGGAGTAGCGGGCGCGACAGGAGAGGTCTGCTGCACCATGTGGGAATCTCCCTGGCCAGGAATCAAACCAGCGCTGCAGAGGCTGCGGACAGCTCCACAGCGTGGCGCTCAACCTGCTGTGCCATCAGGGAGGCCCATACATTAGCAAATCTTAATAAAAATACCACTTAGAATCCAGGGGATCTCTCTCTCTCTCTTCTCTCTCTCTTTTAGTTTTCTCCTCCAATGACTAAAATGGTATTAATGGAAAATAGACATATTTTATCATATTCAGTGTCCTCAAGACATTCCTTATTGAACAGATTAGGATCATAGTCCTAGAGCCAAATCTCTTCATATCTATTATATACATTTAATCTTTTCTTATATGGTAGAAATGTTAAGTGTCTTTGCAACAATAGAGTGCAATAGGTATATATTTTCATGAAAAAGAAAATATTAAGCTTACCTCTTAATTTTTTCAAAAGTTAAATAACAGTAGAAAGATTATTCTGAGAAGTTTAAACAAATTGTTTTGTTGAGGCAGAAGGTGGAGAGAGCTCCATGAAGGAAAGGATCTTGTCAATTTTCTGGTTTTCGTGCCACTCAATTGGGAAATGTCAGCAGAAATACAGTAGCTTAGTTCCTCAATGGTGGTATTACGTAGTAACATTGATACAAAAATGGCAGAGCAGTTACATTGAACAACTTAAAAAATTGAAAAAGACCAAAGGAAGATGGGTTAATCCAAATAACATTTTAAAACATAATTTGAATATTAAATATATTCAGTGTTGTAGGATGTAGAATAAATTATGTGCAGACCTGTGACAAAGTCATAATTGTGCACTACAGCAATAGGTATGCTATTTGTTGGGTCTTATGATGTTTCCAGGTACCAGGTTCTGTATTTATGAATCGGAACAGTCGAAGATTTGTGATATTCTACCATTATTTTCTGATCAATATGCTTGAGTATTATAATACATTCCTATTATTCACAGCAATTCAGTATAGCACTAATCTCTCTGGCCAGAAACATATCAAAAATTTTTTTTTGCACAGGAAGGTGTAATTTTAGAGATTCTCCTATTTTCCAATTCCATTTTGTCTGTTTTCCTAGAGGCCCATTGTCTATCTCCTCCCCTTCCCAACATTGCCTTCCCTCCCCAAGGAATCATTACACCTTTTGAAAACACTGAACTTTATAGACATGATTTGTATACTCTCTTCCTATGCCAAAATATTGTGAACAATTTAGCATTTGAAAATTAATAAAGTGTAACAAAAATCCCACAAAACCAAGAGATGCAGGTATTCCTATGAAAATTTGAGAATTTTAAACAAAGAAAGAACATTTTTAGGAAATTTTTTAAAATGTAACACATGCAAAAATACATGTGTTACAAAAATACAGATAGGAAAGCTTCACATAAAAAGAACAATGACTAAGTGTGAAGATAGTAAAATAAAACAAAAAGGTCACAAAGGAATTAAAAATATGAGAGCTATATTTTTTATTCTTTATTTAACATGTTACCACAAATTTAGTGTCTTAAAACAATATAAATTCATTATCATATAGTTCCACAGTTCAGAAGACAGACAGATTTCATTCACCTAAAATCTAGGTATTGGCAGGATTACATTCCTTTCTAGATGCTCTGGGAGAGAATGTTTCCTTGCATTTTCCAGCTTCTGGAAACTGCTCCCATTCCTTTATTATGGCTCATTTCTTACATCTTCAAAGCCAACAATATTGCATCTCTCTGACTATTCTGTAATTAAATGCCCCACTGACCACAACTATGAAAAGTTACTACTTTTAAACACCTGACTGGATAATCCAGCATTGTGTTCCCATTTCCAGATTTTTTTAAAATCATATTTGCAAAGTACCTTTTGTCATGTAAGATAATATTCACAGGTTCTGGTGTTATATCTCAGCAAATTATTGCCTAATCCAAGGTTATGAAGTTTTACTCCTATGTTTTCTTCTAAGCATTTATTATATGAAGGTTTTTTTGAAAATAGTTTTAGCCTTTACGTGATATTATTAGAATTAATTATATGTGTATTCTCAAATACTTGGGTTAAATTTTGAATTGATATTGTTATTAAATGAAACCATTTAAATTTGATTCTCTTCTATATGAAAGCAATTGTAACATAAAACTAAAGGGAAGTTTAGTGCCTTGCACATAATCAGTAAATATTCATTGGACAAAAATGTATACCTCATGTACTACTGGATTATTTTCCTTGTTGCTTTTTTATTAGGCATTTAGTTTAGAAAGTAATATATATTTAAAAGTTTATGATAGAATAAACACAATTATTTTTATTGGTCAGCTCTGTACGAATTGCAGTAACCAAAAATAAATTCAGATCAATCCTTTTACATTCATATTTGACTTTCAAGTAAAATGGAAACATCTCTCACTACTTTTCAGGTAATCACTATAATGAACCATTCCTAAGGTGTGATCAGCAAAAACAATGTTGCTATTTATTAGCATGTAAAGGGGGGTCTCTACTTAAATAAATCTGGGACATATGGATCAAATAAATTTAAATAGGCTTTTCTATTTAAGTAGACTTTTTAATGAAAATGCACCTTGTGAAAACAGGACATAGTATACGGCATTTTGTTTGGTTATAGAAACTTAATTAGATTGAACATATCACAGAGTTAGCAAAAGAATAAACACTTTTTGGAAAATGCTACCACAGTGACTTTATTTTGTGGACAATTAGGGACCTAGAATTCATTGATGTTATTTTCATATACTCTATATTTAATTCCAGTAAGAAAAACCAAGAATATTATATTGGTACCTGGCACTGAATTTGCCAAGAATGCAAGCACAGCTTCCTCAGTAAAAGATCTTGCCTCTGGAAACATCTTAACCCTTGGCAGCTCTCCAGAATTCAGACTTGGCAGCATCAAGGACACAACACAAGGTGTGTTTATTTGATTAATGTTTGGTGAAAGGTGTTTTTTGATTTGTGGTTTGTTTCATTCATTTACTTTCTTGTTTTGGTTTGCTTCCGGGAATGAGCTTGGGTTTGGAATGCAGTTCTTTCTTATGGAAGGGAAAATTTTTTCACTAAAATGATATTCTGTGGTACTTGGTTAATCCAAGTAAATGAAGCAAGACTCACAGAACTCTAAGTCTATAGCTGATTTATTTGTTAAATTAGTTAATGTTATTGTCTGTTAGGATTTGCTGCTGCATTCATTCATTATTTAGTCTCTTGCTATTTGAGACACTATGATACTAATTATATATTGGCTGTAATCAATGTTGCTCTAACAGGTTAAAAACATTATAAAATATTTAAAATTATTTTTTATCTTTCTTAATTTATACATCTATGTTTGCTGGGAGAGGTAATATGTCTAAAATGAAAGAATTTGGTCCCCAATTACATCTGACCTTTTTTTGTACTGTCCTTTTCTTGTACTGTATTTACCCATCACTCTACTCAGAATTTTTCAATGACTCCCTTTTTCACTCAAGATGAAAGCTAGAACTCTTCAACTGGCATATATGTCTCTGCAAGACCTGGCCCCCTGTCATCTCTCTAATCTTACTTCTACACATTCGTTTGCTTAGCCATACTGACTCCCCTACTGTTCTTTAAACATCTCAAGGTTTTTGTGCCATTCTTTCTACCGATTTCCTGTAATTCTATATTTCTACATACAGAATTTTTCTTTGGGTCTTTGCTAAAGTTTCCCTTCTAAATGAGGTCTGCCTGGTTATCATCTAAACATCTTTGCTCTATATTTTCTACATAGCATTTATCACTGTTTAATAAAATTATATTTTATACTTATTTGTCTTGCTTTTGCCTTTATCCTTCATGAAAGCATTAGTTCCTATTAAACAGGGGTTTTATTTACTCTAATTTTACTGCATCTCTAGCAACTAGAGTAGTCCCTGTCTCTTGAAGAGTTAATGAATGAATGAAGAATTATTTAGCAAACATTTTTAAAGCATTTTCCTATGCAATGTGGTGAGGATACAGGAATGAAATACATGGCTCCTGCCCTCAAACAGTACTGTATTAGGAGAGATGGGTAATTACAGCAGCCATCTCACAACTGTTGTGTTGTGAGAACAGTATAATTAGTACACTGTCATTTGGAGAAACAGCGTTCTAATCAGACTTTGTCGAGCTTATGAAAGTCTTCTTGAAAAAGGTAACCTGTTGTATCAATCAGAATAGTCTACTTTGTGCTGGGAGCAAACCATCCCAAATCTTAGTGTTTTAGTACAGCAAATATTTCTCACACATGCTACATGTCCAAAATGGACTGGTAGGAAAGCTCAGGGACCTAAGACATCAAAAGCTTCCTTTGATACGAAACACTTGCAACAGTGTGAGGAGAGTGACCAATTATGTCCTGGCATTTAGAGTTTCATGAGTCAAAGCAAGTTTCTCAATTTCATATGGGGAACTACTGCCTTCTTCCCAGAGGAAGAGGGGAATTAGAAGATATGTGAATGGAACTAACATCTGCCATACCTTTCTGCCATTTTAGAGGAGTGTAAGATCACCGGGTAAGGAAGAATTTGAAAGCATTTTCAGGGAAAGGAGTAGCATGGGCCAAGACAACAAGCTGTTATATATTATGATAATTTCAGGGAACTGTATGTATTTCAGAGTAGCTGGAGCATGGTATGTGTGCGGGATAAAGAAAGATAAAGAGACTTAGAGGGAAGATAGAGGTTAGATAATACCAAATTATGGAATTAAAACTCTCCTAAAGGACATTGAATGATGTAGTTCAGGAGACTTTCTCGATTATATTTAATATGTGAGAAAGCGTTCTGGAAGAAGTGTGCAGGATAGGTTTGAAGGAAGACCAGATACAGTAAGACTGATTATGATATGAAATACAGAAATGCTTGTGTGACCCCACATGAAGACAATGATAGAGGACTTGGAAAGGAAGGAAACAAAAGGTAAAGGCAGAGAAAGAATATAGGGACGTGGGCTCCAGGGTACAGATGTAGCCTTGGCAGGGAACAGGACACTTCTGATACTAAGATCAAAACAAAGGTACTTACATGGTGAGTACTGTGCCTAAGTACTGTTTGTTTCTGAGCATGTGTGTGTTTAAGAAAGTGAGAGCAACCCTAACGTTAGCCATTCTTTTATCTGTGTCTGTCTATCTATCATCTTTGTGCCTTAGGAAACAAACTCATGTGCTCAGATTTAAGTTTGGTAGGAGGACTTTAAGAGAGATCTTCATATTGGAATGGCTGCTGAGTCAAATGGGAGATATGGTCAACTTGGGGCAGAGAGGTTGCTGAAAAATTGCTGTAAAAATTGCTTTGGAAAGGTCAGTTGCTTTTTATTTAGAGTTCAGTAATAAATTGAAAATACATATTTTTAAAAGAATTTATAGGGGCCTCCCCAGTGGCTCAGCGGTTGAGCGCTGGGTTGAGAAGCTGCCCGTGGCCTCTGTGGTGCCGGTTCAATCCCCGGCTGCTCCCCGGCTACCGGAGGAGGGTCCCGCATGGCGCGCAGACCTCTCCTGCCGCCCTCTGCTCCCCTCAGCAGTGTACTTCGGTCCTTCTGCCTGCTCTGCTCCCCGCTCTGGTTCTGGTGAATTCTCTCACCCTCCCACGCTTCTGACTGTACCCAGTGCTTGTATAAATAAATAAATAAATCTTTAAAAAAAAATAAAAGAATATATATATATATATATATATATATATATATATATATATATGCCATTCCCTCTAGAGAGATTCGTGAGATACAATCTAGTCCTGCCCCCAATTTTTGTTTAATGTGTTAAAAAAAAAAGGGACCCAGTCATTTTATGAGGAAAAAATTTAAAACTTGTGAATTAGTTATCTAGCACTTTTACAAAAAAATTCTATGATAGACTTTTAAACAATGTAAGTATAAAGTTATAGTGAAATTTAATTTAAAAAAATAGAGAAGTGATTGGGATACTTACAATATTTTTCTTAAATGTTTTTGGAATACATTGTCTGCAGTGTTCTATAATTTAAAGGAGATTCTACAATCATGTTTTTGTTTGTCATTGTGTCTTAGACCCAAGGTTTTTTTTTTTTTTTTTTTATTTTTATGTTCCCCTTACAATTACCACCCCCTTATTTTGACCCCAAGCACTCCTTTCCCCGCCCCCCACCCCCCATAGAGTGTCTCTGGTTCATAGTTGTTTGTTGATTTTTATATTTTCTTTCTTATAGTTATTCTTTTTCCTGGTCCCTTATTTAAGTTTTCTAGATTCCTGCTATGAGTGAGACCATCCGGTATTTTTCTTTTTCTTTCTGGCTTATTTCACTGAGCATGATCCCTTCCAGCTCCATCCATGTTGCTGCAGATTGCATGTGTTTATCTTTTTTGAATGCTGAGTAATCTACAAAGAGCTGATGAGACTCAACAAAAACAAAATAATTTAGTCAAAAAATGGGCAGAAGAGCTAAAAAGAAACTTCTCTGAAGAGGAAATGCAAATGGCCAACAGGCATATGAAAAAATGCAAATCAAAACTACCATGAGATACCATCTTACACCAGTGAGAATGGCACATATTAAAAAAACTAGCAACAACAAATGTTGGCGAGGTTGTGGAGAAAAAGGAACTCTCCTGCACTGTTGGTGGGAGTGCAAACTGGTCCAACCACTATGGAGAGCTGTGTGGAGATTTCTTGACATAGAGCTTCCATATAATCCAGCAACTCCACTCCTAGGTATTTACCCAAAGGACACAGAAACATCAATTCCAAAGACCCAAGATTTTTAAAAACATTTAGAAGGCTAAATTAATGATTGCAAATTGAAGTTTTGAGGGCTCAATAACAGATCCAGTTTTAGCCAGGCCACTGCTCTAGTAGAGGGGACCCCACTGATGTGCATAATGCATGTAGTATGTGAGAAATGGTGACGTACAGACTTAGTAGAAATAACATCAAAAGCTTACAACTTCTGAGGAGAGAAAAAAGAATTAGTGGAATTTTTGACCTGAGAAGATTCTTTTCTTAGGAGGGAAATTTGGGACTTTTTGACAAAGATTAGAGATCTGGTTTTCAGTTTGAAAATAGGTACTAGTGGATATGGTTTGTTGGTGTTAAGTCTTCCATTTAAATAAGTAGCTATATTTGGCACTGATCATGTAAGAATATACATAGAAAGTAAGCATGGATGTGATATTCTGTTAAACCAGAATTTCCAGTACTTACAGAGAACAAAAAACACATGCTATTTGGCATCTTAAATGTTAACCAAAGATACTTTTGTTGAAGTCACTTAGCTGATAATGATTGAAGATGATTAATAGAACAAGTAATAGCAGAAACTGTACAATTAATATCTAATTAAGTTGTTACAGCCTTCGTATATTATGAGACCATGTGTATATCTAAGAACCTTAAATATAAGGGAGCTCAGTGGCTTTTTAAATAGTACAAGGTCATCAGGGTTGTTTTTTGTCTATACAAAGCTATTTGGACTGTGTGGTGCTTCACCAGTGAGTAACTGATTAAGCCAGCATGATGTTATCATAGTAATAATAGTTATTGAGCATGAGAAGCACCATGCTAAGTACTTTTATGAGTTAGCTATTTAATTTTACCTTTACAACATTATGGGACAGAAATTCTTACTTACCTCTTTTTGACATGTTAAATGAGCTTAACTATGTCAAGAACTAAAAAGTTACAGAACCAGAAAGGAAACAATTTAAACTAGGGAAGAGTTAACCTACTCTGTATAAGACTCCTGTTCATATAAAACAGCGTGCTTATAGTAATATTTTAAAATTCAAAGCATCTTAAGTTTATAATAACTAAGCATAAATTATGGATGTTTTACATGTTCAAAACTGTACAGAATATTTACTCAAAAATATGTATTGCCTACTTTGTGTCACACTTATTTGAATAGTGTGGATTCTTCATTGTGCAAAACAAAAATCCATGCCCTTTACATTCTAGTAAAGAGAATCAGAAAATAAACAGAAGACTAAATTTAATGGGGAAAAAAAATTTAATTTTGAACTAATAGTTGTTAGGTTGAAGGCAAAATAACTTTTCTGTTGCAATCTTGGTAATCTAATTGTTCATATCATTTTGTAGTGCTTGCATCAAATCATGAAAAGAATGAAATATTGATTGCTATAAAATGGTTATTCATTTTAAATAATTAATTTGAGATTAAATATTATTGACCATTACTTTGAAGACAGCTCTCCCACTCTGCTGCCCTACTTACACACTAAAGATGAAGCATTCCAAGAAAGCAATTAAATGTCATTTGTCATTTGTAAAAGAACTTTGTTTTCTTTAATTACAGACCTAGGTGGTCCATGACTAAAACAGAATAAAAGTAAATAAAAAGTGCCCTAGGACATATTTTTCCTGTAAGGGCACATTTAATTGTAGTCTAGGCACCTTAAAATAACTACAAATGCTCATGATTAAGATTTGATCTTGTTCTTTTTGTTTGCAGTATGTAGGTGTGTCTATGTGTGTAAGAGAGAAAAAGAAAGGGGGAGAATAAAAATGAGAATGGGCATGAATTTGCAGTGTTTCTGTAACTGCTCTGTTTCAGTAGCTTTTCAGAATTCTACCACTATAATTCAGGGAATTGACTGAACATTTACATATATATTTATTTATTTAAAATAGAGGATGCCATATATCTCCGTCTTAAATTTCTTCTGCTTTCTCTCTAGTGATCTCAGTATTAGTATTCTGGATTTCCATTTTGTAGGTGTCTCTGTTACACCACTCTGAACCACTCTCTTTGGAAACTATCTTGCCTTTAATTTTTTCTAGTGAATTCTTTAAGGAGTTAAATAATGGATATGGCTTATGGACTTCATTACTGGACTAGTAATGATGTGGTACAGTGAAAAATTAAAATGTTCAATCACAAGGTCATTAACAAAGAAAGAAAAATAATTAAGGGTAAAAGAAGGAAGGTTTTAAGATAAAATCCAAACTCGCATATAAAAAGACCACTGTATTAAGAGAGGCATAGGAAGGATTTTTTCAGAGGATAGAATTTGTATTAAAAGAAAATCCCAGTTTTGTTACTAACCAGATTTTTGTACTGAAAGTGGTAACAGGAAAGTTTGTTGAACAGACTCTAAAAATGTTTTGGAAACAAAGTAGAGGTAACAGAGGTGACAAAAGTAGTTAAAAAAATCAACAGTGACAAAAGTAGTTAAAACAATGAACAGGAGGGATTATGACGCATTGAGAAGAAATAGGTCTGTCAGAGATTGTGATTGTAGCCAATAATGTAAAAAATCAGAAAAGAAAGCTCTTCTTGATTTCTTTATTAATGGCTGAAAGCAGTTTATTCAAGAACCAAGAGTTATATTCCTTCATGAAATTTCCTTTTCTGATCTGAGCTACATAGGGCAAGTTTAAAGCTAGGGACTCAGAGCAGTTCACAGCCTTTTTTACTACATTCATTTTTAAATGCCTTGTTTGAAACAGAATGTCCTGGTTTATGATTTTCATATTTTTTCCCTTTTAGAAAGAGGCAGATGGTATGAAAACTGGACTCACTTATTTAAAGGGAATGTTGATATTTATAACCAAGCTTATCTCCAGCAAGATTTGTTTTTTGCAGCTGTTCCAGGTTGGAAAAAAATATTATATTAAAGTCCTGGCTTGTTTTTCTTTCCATATTTAGGGGGGGAAATCTTTCGAATGTGAAAAAGTGATGTTTGATTTAAAACATGAATGCAATGTAAACTGTGATTTTTTGCTTCTATATGTGAATTTTCTGTTTGTATGCTGTGATGATATTACTCTTTTTGTTTCACTGATCTATTTCCTAGATACATCACACTTGAGAAATAATTTAGTCATCATTTTCATATCATCAAAGTATTCTAGGAAGTGTGGTAGGTTTTCATTAAGAGTTAGCCTATATTATTAAACAAACCACTTTCTAATTTTCTGTTTTGATATTTTAGGCGTTTTCTATCTGCCCAAAACTTCTTTTTCAATGGAAAATTAACTTTTTTGGTTTTTTTTTCTTATAATTACATTCTTTATTATATGTCTTTTCCTTTTCTCTTCTATTCTTTCCTTTTAGTTTTAATTATAAATGCTACTGCTGTTCTCTGGACATATTCTAGTAGTAACTTTCCTTTATAATTTAACTGAGCATTAATTTTGTTTTAGACACTAAGTTTAATTTATGGAGCTATGTATTTGGACACATGTTAAACTAGAATGACTATCTATGCCTGTACACACAGAATCTTTATACATATGTTTTATATATGCACCCACACATGTAAAATTTTCCATAAAGAAGAATGTTTTTCTAATAAATATTTTGATTT